CTTCTTCTTCTTTCAGATTGAAGAGTCTGACCAGCGCGATCTCTCGGCGCTGAGTCTGACGTGGTTTTTACATACGGTGTGAGCAGGTAGATCGTATCAGAGCGTCGGGTTGCACACTGTGAGAACCAACATCATGAGCTGAGAACTTTTACACCCTGTGGGTTCGTCGTACAGTGTGAGCCATTCCAAATAAAGCATCTGACCCTCATGATGCTCCGTGTCTTTTAACAGCTGATTTTCTCTAAAATGTTGATCCTTACAGGTCCTCCAAAGCTCTGTTTGCTCTTCTGCTTCCATTTTTTGAAGACGGGCTGAACTGTATTATATCTGTGTTTTATCCCATAGTTTAAAACTGTGTTTAAAGTACAGGATATGGATTAATAACCTAAACCTGCTTCAAAGTGTTCTCTGACATCCCCAGAAGCAGACATAGAAAAAGTAGCATAGATACAAAAGGCAACTGTCAACCAGCTCCACAGGCGGCCCCGTCCAGGAAACACACAGCCAGGCAGACGAGCTCCGAGCCAGCTCCCATGTCAGAGGATGAAGAGAGCACATCCAGTTAGTCACAGTCAGAGAAACAGGACTACACTGGAAAACAGGCCAAGCTCCAACATCTAGAAACAAAGGTGTTGATGGCAGCAGCACAGCTGATATTTCTCTCCAGGATGGAGTCACAGCCAAACAATTCTGACAATTGTTGGAGGCTTTTACAGAGCAGCTGCATTTAGATTTTACACTAGTGGACTTCATTTACCAATTAGATGATGTCAGATGGAAACTGGTTAAACTGTATTTTATACAAGGGTATCAAAGAAAGCAGAGCTTAATAGAGATGCTGATACTATTCATAATTTTCTACCTTACCAAACACTTGACTGCACAATTCTATGTTAATCAGTTAGATAAAATCCTTATTCATTTTCATAGTCTGTTCCTGAACCATGACAAAATATACCAGTGCAATCTTTTGAAAGATTGCACTGGTATATTGCAAATGGCAAATTGAGATGGAGTACCAGTATCTGAAACTCAGCAGCATTCCCTGAGTGCTGACTTAAAGGCTTTCACAGCCATTGATATTGAAGACCAGTACAGCAGAGATCATAAGTGTCACCCAGAGCAAACTTAAACCAATATCCAACACTGGGAAATAAAAAGACAACGCTTCTTGGCTGTCCCAGAGCATCTGAGACAACATCTGAAAGACAGCACAACATGAAGCTCTGCTGAAGACTTGGCCTCCTTCTGTCAATGAGCGATGCAGAGGCTGTTATAAAGCAATCACACAGGGAGGGAAAGTGTCATGTGCTTTATGTAGGAGAGAAGAAATCTATTGAAGGCTGGGAAATTGCTTAAGCTGTGAGGTGAAATCATATTAAACCACATAGGCCTGGCCTTTTTTACCTCCAATTTTAACAACCAGTTTTTATTTAAAGCTAAATGACATAAAGATCACTCCTCACCTTTTTTAACTGTTTGACCTTGAATGTTCAGCCATTTTTTTGCAGGAAACATCTCTTTTGCAGTTTTCTTCTGCAGCCTCCATGAAGTTTCAATTTGTTTGAAGCTATCTGTCATTTTCTTGATGAATTATTGACTGATTTCTGAAGCAATTGCTTGAGAAATTCCTTGAGCAGACTATTGCTTTTGAGGTAACCGCTTTCTCCACATCTGACCTTTTTTTCTCTATATTGACTTTGCTGGAGTTTGACTGAAGGGGAGAGCGCTTTGAAGCAAAAACCTGCCTTTGTTTAGTAGAAACCCACGTTCTAGAGTGGCAGACAAATTGATGTGTGATTTGAATTCTAAAAAAAATGTTTTTCTGTAACCTACAAGGCTACAGAATCAAAACCAAATTTTTAAATCGAATTTTGAAATATACTTTTGAGGTTGAAGAGTGAATTGGGAGTCTTTTTCTGTTTTTATTATTAAAAGCTCAAAGCTGTTCATTCCATTCTGCTTCAGTTACATTTTATACATTTTTTACATTTCAAAAGCCTGAGACCCGTATTTAGTTTCATATATATATATTTTTTTTTATTCACTTACTTAATAAAGTATTCACTTATGCTTTCCCACCACCTACAAGGATGCAGAGAGTCTGGGTGAGAGGGATTGTTGACTGTTTGGGAGAAAAACCTCCAGCAGAACCAGGCTCAGTGTGAGCGGCCATCTGCTGAGGCCCACTGGGGTTCAAGGAGACAGAAGCAGACATAGAAAAAGAAGCATAGATACAAAAGGCAACTGTCAACCAGCTCCACAGGCGGCCCCGTCCAGGAAACACACAGCCAGGCAGACGAGCTCCGAGCCAGCTCCCATGTCAGAGGATGAAGAGAGCACATCCAGTTAGTCACAGTCAGAGAAACAGGACTACACTGGAAAACAACTCTCACCGGGCATCCTACTTTGAAAAACGACCACTAACGTACCAGAGGTAAGGGGCGCCGTTAATTCAGTAAAAAAGAGCTGACATTGACTATTAGGGGTTAGGATATACTCATGCTTATCATAAAGGGAAACCACTATTTTTCAGGGCTCCTGTCTGTGTGTTTGTTTCTCTGTTTGTCTCCCTTCCATCAGCAGGAGGCGCCTGGTTCCGGTTCGCCTCCTCACACACCTGCTGACGGTTACCTCGTTAACGGAGTGCTCTTAAGCTGCTGATTGCCACTACCTCAACGCCAGAGTGTTTGCCAGTTTTTGGTACTCTGGCCAAGCTGAGTTTTTCCTGAGTTAGACTGAGTTCTTGTCTCCCTGAGTTTTGACTTTGTTTTTGTCTTTGCCTCGCGGCAGGAAGTCTTCCTGCAAACTGGACCTTTTTGGACCTCCTCTCCCAGGAGGGATCAACTGAGTCTTAAACTCAGCCAGGGATTCAAACAGGAGGTTTGGATCCACTCTCCTTTTTGAGGACGTTGAAATTACTCTCTGAGCAAGGGAATCATCTTCACCATGACCCATTCAAGTACAGCAGGAAATCTGAGTGGCAATCAGCGTCTCTGTTCACCTACACCGTCCGAGTTCTGGGTAAACCCTGTTCCGCCCTCCACCGAATCAGACATACTCTGGAAAACCAACACACAGATTGGATCCAAGGATCCTTCACTTCTCTGGAAACGTGAGTCAACAACCAGATCCTCTTCTTCAAACCAACAAATCAAATTTCCCACTGAGCCTGAACTAATAGTCTGTCTTCCCCTCACCTTCCAGTTCCGGCTGAGCAGAGTTCAGGGAAACTCTGCACCGAGTTTAACATCTTCAATAAAACCCGTCAAACTTTTCATCTGTGCCTCTCTGTTTGGTTTCACTGCATGTGGGTCCGAGCCTTAGATAAAATCATGACACTATTTTGCTTATTTTTATTTTTCAATTAGTAAAATAAGTAGAAGTATATCTTCTAATATGATCCCTTTGTAGCTAAGAAGATCAGAACTGAACTTGTCATAATCTGATAGCTGACCTAATTGTTCATTTCACTCACCTGCCTAACTCTGCCCGGTTCTTAATCAGCTCTCATCTCATCCACCTGTTGCTTTATATTCGGCTCAGTCCAGCTATCGGTATCATGATCTGGACTGATTCCTCCACCTTAATTGTTTATTTCATTCACCTGCTGTTCCCTCCCTGCTGTAATTATCATTTATTTCATTCACCTGTATCCTCTGCTTTACATTCAGTTCAGCCGGAGCATTCGGGGCCAGATCATTTGTTTTCTGTTAGTCTGTTCAGGTTGTTCCGTTTATTCCACGGTTCATGTCCCGGTTCCTGGTAAATCCTGGTGGAAAAGTTTTGTGTCTGTCCTGTCTCCTTATCATGCACTGGTCCTTCCCCGCGGAGCCCTCTGGGTTTTGGCTCGGAACGTGAGGAGGATCAAATTTTATTCCCCTAAGCCTGGCTCCTAGGAGGAGACCAGTTTAAAGGTCCTGCTCAAGTTTTTGCTTTAAACGTCCTGTCTCTGTTACCCTCAACCACTGAGCCTGCCCTTCTGCATTTGAGCCTGTTCTGGTCCTGTCCTGTTTGGCTCAGCGTGGGGCTAGTTTTAAGCTCCAATAGTCCTAGCTTTTGGATGGAGCCAGTTTAAAGTTCTGCAGTTCTACTGGTACCATGTATTTCCTCTCAATCACTGGGCCTGCCTGTCTCCATCTGAGTGTATTCAGGGCCTTTACTCATGGAGCTCTGAATTTGCCTGAACGCTCAGTGTAAACCTGGATCTTTCTGTTCCTATTCAGACTCCTGGCTCTCAGACCCGTACTTGTTCTGAACAGTTTCCCTGACTTGGCTCGGTCTCCTGCCTGCACACTTGGGTTGCTGCATCGGGGACACTCTGGGAGGCTCCCACTGCATATCAATGACAGTCCACCAGCTGGATTCTGCCTCACCCGAGAGGATGGGCTGAACTGTTAAACCAAGTAAAAGACTCACATGGATAATCACCTTCCATCAGATTATCGTGGTCACTTACCTGCGGTTCTCCCTCCACAGTGTCAGTGATGGTTGGCGCCCCGCCTCCACCTGCAGCCGCTGCATATCCGCAGATCCACAGCAGCCCGCATTCTGTACCTCTGAACTGAACTTGCTGGTTTGTATGATGTCACTTAAGTTTTTCAGATCGTTGCCTTCAAAGTTCTGCAACAATGCAGTTAAAGCCAACCCTCGGATGTTTTATAGCAATTTGACATTATGAATGTATGCTGTAGTTAAAGGTAAACAGACTTTTGCATCATTTATTAAAGCCCAAAACACAACTCTATTCATCCAGCCTTTTATTAATACAAACCTTTTTGGAATAGATAATTCTGTATATATATATTTTTTTATTTTGTGGTAAATTAACCAAATAAATAGATGACTATAAAATAAGATGGAAATACAAAGCTTGTTTCAGCAAAAGCATAATTCCTTCATAAAAGCGACTCCACAGCCGAACCTCAGTGGCGATTGTGGTCATTTGAACAGCATTGATAATTCTGTTTGCATGCACTCGGCTTCCCCTACCCTCCCTGAATTAGCCGTCAGTTTACAATTCTTGTGCAAATTTAATCAGTGCAGCAGTGTAATACATTGGTAGACTGGGATACTGGCTTCACATGTAAATAAAGGGGGAAAAGGAGCTCATGGAGTAAAAGAATATGATAGTATGATGAGTAATTGACAGATAAAAATGTGCAGATCTCTATGAAGCCACACTGCTTTTGTCCTCCACATTGATGTCCCTCACACCATGAACCTGGGTGAGCTGCTTGCAGTCCAAAGAAGCCAGTAATTTCCTCAGTCCAGGAAGGCTGGGGACAAAGTGCTGCTTGAAAGAGATGGAGGCATGTTTGGCAATATCTCTGCAGGGAGGACAGGAAATGACAGCAGTGGTCACAAAAGGGAAAGATACGCCAGGTCACTGAAAAAAACCCATCAGGACTAATATTAAGTATATGTTTTTCTGACTCACCCAAATTCAATCTTTTTCCCAGGTAGAAGTCCTATTCCCTCTATGTGAAATATTACTGCTTTCAGCACCTGGGGGAGGGGGTTGGTAAAATGTATCTCCACCGCCATCTCCTTCCCTACTACAGCCTCCCCAATGGGCTGAGTGACAATGAGACAGAAGCACAGCAAAATCAGAGCTGGACTTGGATCTTCTGCTTCGTCATGGTTTCACGGCCTTCTGTGTTTCTTACCTTTATGACGAGGTCGGGGGTCCGGAGTCGGAAGCTGAACTGGGTGGCCAGAACTTGCTGCGTTTCTCTAACCCGGCCTGAAAGTGTCAGCATCAGGGCAGCCTGGTCTATCAGCTGGTCCTTGTACACCTTGTACTCCAGTACCCACGTCAAATCATTCTCTGGAACCAAACATTGGGCAGAGAGAGGAGAATCAGTTGAGCTTGGCAGCCTTTAGTGCCTGGAGATGGTGGAATTTATTGTTTTGGTTTGGCATTTCCTTTCTGGGCATCCTGTGGAGCTAACCCCTTACATTACATACCTGTTTGTATGTTTCTAATGTAAAGTTTGCCATATGTCTGCATTCAGCCTCTCTGATGCAGAAAGCTTTGTCAGAGTTACACACTCAGATACAATTGTAGGGTGTCTATAAAAAAGCTTGTTAGATGTTTTGTCAATGACTGCATTTAGCCTGAGGTCTGTACTTTGACTGGAGCGTTATAAAACATTAACATGTTTTTAACTGGAGCATCTTACTCCACATGCTTGCTGCAAATCTCACTCACCCTGTCAGACTTGCCTTTTGGCTGCTTCCCCTTTAACTTTCCTGTCAGTTTATGCAAAGTCTTAATAGGTAACAGTATAAATGCACTCACTATTGTACATGTCTCTGTTGAAAAGGTGATTTTAATCTAAATAAATAAATCCAAAAAGTTAAAGTTAAAAAACAATCCTCTGAACTTTGTTTCCAAGTTTGAAGACTTTCTCTTCTATCCAGGAAGCTTTTTCCATTAAAAATGTCAGAAATAGCGTTTAGTTCCAGGTTTTATAGAGTAGGCCAACAAAACCCTTGTAATGGTTTAGAAAACATGCAGATTGTAACTGGAATAATGGAAGTTCCCATAATGGAACTTGTGGAGGTCATTGAGGGTGGAGCTGGTTTTCCAGTTTAAATCTGCATGTTTTCTGAGCGATTATAAGGCTTTTCTTGGCCTACTCTATAAAAGCATGGAACTTAACGCTTATGCACATATTTTGAATTGAAAAAGCTTCCTGGATGGGAAGACAAACGTCTTCAAACTTGGAAACAAAGTCCAGTGGATTGTTCTTTACTTCAACTTTTTGCAATGAGTATGAAATGGATGACTGAGAACTTCCACCAGCATATTGTGGAGTAAAAAAATATTGAGGTTTGTCTGTTCTTAGCCTCCCAGGCTCCAAATGAAGGTCATGAGAGAGAAGAATGAGTCACACAGCCTCCTTCAGGGCATGAAGGGGAGGACTGCTGTTATTAGGAGATCCATCTGACCAGAGAAAGATAAAATAACAGAGAACGGCCTTGATGAACTCAAGTTGTTTTTCCTCCAATTGTTCAAGTGTGAGAAAGTTCTTTATGCAGGTCAGTGTTAATTTCGTCAACCATGACGATGACGAAAATACTTCATCAACGCCACTTTTTCCCGTGACGATGACGAGACGATAACGAACAAAAATTGTTTCCAGAAAATGAAAATATGTTGAAAAAAAAAATGATTTTCATCAACGAGACTAAGACAGACGAAATGTACGATCCATTGACAAATGGACATTAAAAAATGTAATTGTTTATGATAAATTTGTAATTGTTAATAAAAGTGTTTCTTGAGCTTCATAGAAGATCACGCGTTGTTCCGCTGTTTGTCCCTACATGGCGTCTGTCCCACAGCGCCCTGCAGCTCTCAGTCAGTAGCAGCATAGCTCAACTTCGCAGTCATTGCGGATACCGGTGTGCTGTTTGTTAAACAACGCCTGGATGTATGGAGTCATTTCATTTACAACTCGAAGGAAAACAGCGCAGTAAGGACGCCACCAAAGAGTCTGCGGCTTCAACATGGCGGGGAAGAACACAGCGAATCTCAGCGACATCTGAGGAGCCAACATGCTGCCATATGGAAGAAGGTAAGGAACGGCTGGGCCTGTAGTAGCAGGAACGGGTGTGTTAGTGCGTGCACGGGCGCATGCATGTGGCTGTGTGTGTGGGTGTGCCTTCCTGTTCCTGTATCTGTCTGTCTCTCTGTCATAGAAGAAAGATGTTCTACTGATACTCTGGATATTATTCGCTTAAATTTCTTCCTCCCATCTAGATTCCTGACACAGTGACACCACAGCCAGATCAGAGGTTGGCGAAGGAAGGGAAGTCTGTTGCAGAGATGCCCCCCACCCCTGACGCCAAAGAGCAGAAAGCCCTGGAGAACTGAATGGCAAAATTTGAACCTTTTTTCTTGCAAGAAATGCCTCTGCCTCAGCTTCCTAACTTCACAATACTTAAGTAAATGTTACATACTCAGATACATACTTTATGAAATGTTTAAGACTTGGCGTACAGCTTTGGGATCTAACCTCCCAACAACCCTTTACTACCTGTGGATTTTTAAAGAAGTGCTTGATTTTAACTTTTTTTGAGAATCAAAGTAAAGAGGGCTGAATACAAATGTACACCACAAATTTTCACACCTTGTGAAAACGTTTATAAGGCACCTTAAAAGGAATCGTTTCTCACCCTCATTAGGCAGCAATTCCAAATCAGCTTTGTCCTTTTTCACGGTGGCTTTGTGGACTCCAGTGTAGTACATGACGGCTAACTGGCTGTGCAGGGTCACTGTTCGCTGCTCTGAGCTGCTGTTCTTCAACCTGATGGTCAGCTCTGCATCTGCCCCCATTTTGGGACCATCGCCCTCCATGATCACTTCTAAAGTCACATCTTCTGCTGTTGGAGGTGAGTAGGCGGCTGCTTTGGAGCCGTAGCTACAGGCAGTTTCCACAGCAATACGTTCCTCCTCTGAGCCTAATAGAAAAACAGACTTTTTAAGCTTGATCCAAAACAAAGTATTTTAGTGCAGCTTTAGTTCAGCTCCTTAAATTAGGATTATTGCATATGCTTGAGTCATATTTCCTTGAAATGTTTCTGACAAGTATTTGGATTTTACCTTCAGGATGTTTGTAAAGGTGTGTGATGTCATTGCGTTCATCTGAGCCTACAGCCTTGGTGCTGATGTAGTGACCCACAATGTTCTTCTCACTGTAGATTTGACTGAATGTACCATCTTTGTTCTTTTGCCAGTATATTTTATCACTGTTTACCTGAACGTGCGCAGGAAGAGGTATTTTAAAAACGTCATTTTGCCTGATCATATTTTTTATATTAAAGCTCTGAATGTATGTTCTAGTTTATGGTGAAAATTGCAACAAACCTCAGCAAACACAAAGGTGGTGTCATGTTTGAGGAAGACCTGACCATTGCGGACAGCGGTGAGGGAAGCCGGGCCACAGCGGAACGTGCCCTGACTGGTTTCCTGCGGTGTGGCATCAACAGTCTGCCAGCCTCCGTTGCCATGAGGCAAGTCTGGACGAGCCATCCAGCAATCGGTCCACACATGGAAATTCCTAACAGCAAAGGACTAAAATTAGAGGTTTGGCAAGAAGCCATGCATGTAATAAATTTATCGTACAGGACATACCAGATAGAGTCTGTGTTAAGGTGGGTTATAGGCTCAAAATTCTCATCCAGGTAGACATCAGTTGTTAAGGAGACATCTGTGTCGTGGGCTGAGCTGAAGTTGGTCACCGTTCGAGCAGGAATGCCGAAACACCTTAATACTAAAAGAACACACCAGTGGTTGGTGTCTGTGGAAAATCTGTCTCTCACAGATCAAACAAAGGAAAGAATGAACTGACTTGTAGTGCAGACACCAGCAAAGACCCAACACTGGCCGAACTTCACGGGTGTCCCTTTACTTTTATGGTACGCTTGCAGGATTTCCATACTTCCGCTCCACACAGTGGGGGAGGTTCCCAGTGAATACTCTCCTGACCAGTTTCCCTCCACAACACCAAGGTCATCAGGAGAATTTACCTAGAAGTCAAGATATGATTACAGTTCAGGATTCAAAGCTGTAGCGTTTGTTGTACACAAAAAATGTTTCATAGGGGGGGCAAGATGGGGCCACTAAAAATCTTGGGGTGGCCACTGAAACTAAATGCCATAATTTAAGGGTCTGAATCTACTATAGCGGCAAACCTGTCTGTAGAAACCATAGACTTCAGTAAACATCTACTTATATCTTGGTTTATTGTTTGACTTTTAATGTTACGTCGCTGGCTGTGCAGAATGGGATAAAATGCTAAACTGATGCTAATATAATTTACCCTGGTGGGTGGGGTGGCCAGTGGGCCCTGGTGGCGCCACTGTGCACAAGTAACCATAAAGGGTCTCTTTCTTTTTTATTTATTTATTTTTTAACAACACTAGTGGCTCATTTTTTATGAAGGTAGATTTGTTTCTTTATCGTTCAATCTATAAAGAGTTTGCTTCAATCAAATAATATATTTTCAATTAAAAAAAACTTCACTTCATTCAAAAAAATACTTTTCAATCAAGTATTTGAAAGCAAAAATATATTTGAGACTCAAAAAAATAAATTTGAACACAGCTTTTCTTTGATTGAAAATGTTTTATTTATGATTGAAACAACTTTTTGGGAATTGAATGATTAAGACACAAATGTCGTACCCATGAATGGCCCAAACACAAAATAGATTAATGCAACCAAAGACAACATTTTCAATAATAAAAAAATAAGTGTTCAATTTTTGGAGTCTCAAATATTTTATTTGCATTCAAAAACTATTTTTTTATGATTGAAAACTTTTATCTTTTCATTGAAGTTAATTTTTTTTTTTATTGATTCTGTTCTTTGTATGTTTGAAGCAACTTCTTTTTTGGTTGAATAATAAAGACACAAATGTCCTACCCATTATATGGTCCAATCAAAAAACAAAGTTACTTCAATTAAAAAAGTTATTAAACAAAAAAGACTGGACTTCTATCAAATAATAACGGTTCTGCACATGTGCAAACAGAGATATATCTGGGTTTCCATAAATTATTAAATTATGGTACTAAAATAAATTATTTCTGTCCTTAACTCACTAGAGAATGCTAAAACACATCTTTAATAAGAAGCTTTCTGACTTTTCTGATACAATTTTGAGGCTTTTTACATTTTCTCTGTTTGCTTCTCTGACGTCATCATTGGACATGCTCAGAGCAGTCTGGCAAAATACGATTAAACCATGTTTATCCGCATTTAAGTTGTATATTTCTTTAGATTATGCACTATATATCATAATGCTAACACGAAAGGAAAACATAAAATGTTTAAATCCAAAGCCAAAAAAGTTGGCTCCGGGTATTAGCGTAGGATCCCTTACATTATTAACCTTTAACTCATATTTTAGGACGTTTACTATTTTTGGGGAGGAAAAAATGTCATGATGGTCCTTTTAACAAAATAAAATCGAGGATGTGTTAGGTTTCTGTTTCTGTTATGTTTTTCTTTTGAGTATTCTGTCTTTCCTTACTCCTTGATTTCTAGTGTTTAGTTTTCTTTTCACCATGTTTCATTATCCTAGTTATTTGATTATTATTTTGTTGTTTTCTTATTAGTTCCTGTCTTCCAGGTTTTCCATTTGTTGTCCTCTGCTGCCCTCTTGTGTCCTCTTTCCCTTGCTCTGTTTTCCGCTTTGTCCTCACCTGTTTCTTATCCCCTCGTTAGCCCTCTCTTTGTCTCTGTCCCCTTTAAAAGCCCTCCCTCTTCAGTTCCTGTTGGCTTGATCCTCGTCTAACGTCTGTCTCCGTACCTCGTCTCTCCCTGGCTCCTAGAGTTTGGTTTTCCCCTGATGTCTCCCTGGTTCTGGTTCATCTGTTATTTCTGTTGGATTTTTGATTCCTGCCTCAGTTCCTGAATCCACCTAAATTCACCTCTGCCTACTTGCCTCTGCATTTGGGTCCTCATACCAACATCAAACCCTGACAGGATGACCCAGATGGATATCTGGATGCGCAAATGAGCTGATAGCGCAGGAGGGATCGTGCTTGCGGGACGGATCTGGTACTGACAGGTCGCATTGGTCCAGTCGCCATTGTCAATGAATGACCTCCGTAACCGGAAGAGAAACACGCCACCCAACACACCCACAACTTAGCTAGTTCCTGATTGGCCCTCTGGCCTTGTGGCGTGGAATAACATAGCGCAGACCACGCTTCAATTGGGCATAAATCAAAAATATCTGCGACACGCTGCTGCGGGAGGATAACCAGACCTTAAGGGGCCGATGTAACAGCTCAGATATTGTCTCTGATTTCAATAAATGATGTCAGCTGATTTCAACATGAAACCTGCAGCCATTAAATCTTATCTAGTTGTATTTAAACCATCTAGTTTTAGACCCTGACAAACCTCCCGTATTAAATCCTTAAAGAAGACTAAATTAAAAATTTTAAATATATATTCTGCATAAAAAAAGTAATTAATGCAAAAAATCAGAAAACCTAAACTTAAGTAGTTTCATGTTGTTTTTTTTCACCCTTAATTTGCAGAGATTATGTCTAAGTGTGAAACATTACACTGTACTTTGTAGCTTTGAGGACATAATAATAAATATAACAATATTGAATTATTTTGTTCCTCTGGCCGATGGACACGGCACATATTTTAACTGAACAGTGGGATATTTGGCGGAACAAGCAGTTCCCCACTAAACCAGAGGGTGGCAGCAGTTAGTATTGGCAGCCTCAGCAATGGACCCAAAAGGTCTGGAGGTATTTTACTGAAGAAGTAAACACATGAAAAGGGAAAGTTTTTGGTTTGTTAGCAAGATCAGTTGAAAACATATGAACGGATTTTAAGGACATCTTTTACCGAAGGTGCGCCTCATTCCAAGGAACAATTCATTAAAATTTGGTTTTGATCCAATCCAAGTTTTAGCTCTTGGTCACAATTTGGTGCAAAAGTTCTGCTTGGCAGAGGTCTGCAGTCTGCAAGTGCTTTTCTAGTCCAACATACATTTGGATTCCCAGAATTGAAAAACAAAATTCTTTGCACAAATCTAATATGTCCTTGTAAAGTAATTTGTTATACGGATGACACAGCACTGATAGAACATTACAATATTTTGGGCAAATGAAAGTCTCTGGCAGTAACCATGACAGCCACACATGGCCGTAGTCTTATACATTATTGCTCACATAAAGAGAGAAGTGAATACTATGAATTCCCTCAGAGAAACTCGGTAATCAAGAATTCCTGCGATTAAAAGCGACTCATACCGCTTCTTTGTTGGAAAAAACTGTCCAATTTGGCTGAAAAAAAGTTGGCTTCTAGATTCTCAAATAAAGTCTGAAACACATCAAAATCCGTTTTCCTTCAGGACTCGATATATACCCGTTATACCGACCAGAATAATGCTGACCTGGAGGATTATTTGTCATGCCACCAACACAGCTTTAAAAGTTGCTGCAGTCACTAGTTTTGCTGTTAATGGACTCTATTAAGTCAAATATTCAGACTCCTTTTGCTTTCTGATGATGAAAAGGCATTTAAATGTGTAATGGGAGCAGCTATATGTAGATTTAAGTGAGGAAGCAAAAGCCAGACTGCTATAGCAAAATGACTGAATGCATATTGTTTGCTTTGGGATTAAACAACCTTTAATATCCTGAGTCGTTGGGGTGGTGGGGTTATATCTAGTGTTGCACGGATACCGATCCAGCACTAAAATGGTGGTATCAGTATCAGCGAGTACCAACCAATAGGGCACTGATACCATTCGAGAGTCAAAGGTAGGCAGCAGCTTGACATGAAGCCATGATGGTGATTATTCTACATCCAAGTAGGATGCAGTTCTTCATAGATACACACATCAATTTCAAACAGATGGTATCGGCCGATACTGCACAGCCAGGTATCGGGGCCAATAAATGGCATCAGTGCAACACTAGTTGCCTCTAATTAAGTGAGATGCCTCAGTTAGCGATTGTTATAGTTTGGCCCAGCTATTGGACACGGTGGAAACTGTTAAGTAACAAATCTCTGCAGCTCAATTATCTACAGTTACTGAGTTGAGATGTGAACAGAGCGGTGCAGTGAAACAAAAGCTTTCACAAAAGCCATACTTTGTTGTCAGACTAAATTGAATAATATTGCTTAATTGTTTAGTATGCAGAAACAAAACAGTTTAGAGTCAGAAAAGCGGAATAACAGAATCATGAACACAAAGAGGACATGATCTCATCAACCACTGAAGCATCTGCATCATTGAAGAAAGATAAAAGCTGACGCACCGTGATCATTTGCACGTTTGCTCTGGACTGTGTTTGATTAGTTTGCAGTCCCAGAGGCAGTGCTTTGACGTGAACTCTTATTCTCAAGTTCTTTTATATGAATTAGACTGAAGTAAATATATGATCATTAATATGAATATCATACAAAATTCAGGGATTTTCAACTAAGGCATGTTTTAATAACCCAACATTACAATGCAGAGAAAAAAAAGGTTTTAAAGACATTGGAATGTGGATATAGTATGAATAATGAATACAAAACAATTATAGGTGTTCAAGATATTTAATTCATTGAAATTTCAAAGTCTGAATTTTGAATTTTCTGATTTTAAGAGTTATAGCTGTTTTTTATTTCTTTTTCTATTTGTATTTTTCACTGAAAAAAAATCTTACTGCTTCGTTTTTAGGTAGATAATCAGTCCAGAACAGAAGAAAAATAGCCTTTTGGCTAATTCTGGTGCATTTGCTGGAATGCTTATTAATGTACACTGTCCCTGAAAAAATAAATTAATAAATCTAAATCCAAACTAATTCTCAGGTCTGACACCGAAATCAAACAAATGAAGACAATCCTCAGAATTCCAGCATATATGATATATAAAAATACAGAATTCCATTGATATATTTCCCCAATGTGGAATAAAGACTATCCAAAAACGTCCCCTAAGAGGTTTAAATAGGTTTGTCATTCCAATAGTGAGAATTAATAAAGTTAACCTGCAGAGAAGTGAAAAACATCAAAGTATTTTGAACATCCAGAGAAATGCCTCTGCAGGAGAAAAGGCTAAAAAGTGCTTTCTGCTTGGATCTTCTAACCCTTGGCAAGCTTGCTTTAGAGGAAGACAGAATTCTGAAGTGGAAATCTCTCCTAAGGCTGAGAAAAACTTCTCAAAACCGCAGGGACTCAATCTCACCGGTATTCACTGCTGCTTGTTAAAACTCAGCTCTGCAAAGAACTAAAACCTGCCTTAACACCAGTGAATTCTGCTTATATATTTTATTGTTTTCCTTTTATTTTGTTGATGTTTCAATGTTAGATGGCCTGTTGGCCGTAAAAAGAAGATTGCAGTCAGTTCTCTGTCAGTTCTAATCAGGCTCTTTTCAATAAGTACTATTTTACAGCATAGCATAATAAATTCTATTCAGTTTATTTCTATAGCTCCAATTCACATCATGTCATCTCAGGTCACTTTCCAGTTCACCAGATCATCCAGTCAGATTGATTCAAAGTTTTCTATCTAAGGAAAACCAGCTGATTGCATCGACTCATTGACTCTTCAGCAATCCCTCACACTAAGCATGCTTGTAGCGACAGTGGAGAGGAAAAACTCCCTTTGAACAGGAAGAAACCTCCAGCAGGACCAGGCTCAGTGTGAGCGGCCATCTGCTGAGGCCCACTGGGGTTCAAGGAGACAGAAGCAGACATAGAAAAAGAAGCATAGATACAAAAGGCAACTGTCAACCAGCTCCACAGGCGGCCCCGTCCAGGAAACACACAGCCAGGCAGACGAGCTCCGAGCCAGCTCCCATGTCAGAGGATGAAGAGAGCACATCCAGTTAGTCACAGTCAGAGAAACAGGACTACACTGGAAAACAGGCCAAGCTCCAACATCTTTAAACAAAGGTGTTGATGGCAGCAGCACAGCTGATATTTCTCTCCAGGATGGAGTCACAGCCAAACAGGAACAGACCAGATGAAGCTACTAAATACTAAGGAAGCCTATATAGACCACTAAAAGCAGTGGATTTCCAGATAAAAACCATTCATAATGGTTGGTGTTTTATGGTGTTTTTGGAATGTTTTAAGAATAAAAGAAGAGGGTGCAGAGAGGAGCGGCTTTCTCACCATGGCTGAGATGATTCGGGCCACATTGATGGGGTCTCCCCAACCAGAGTTTGGAGTTTGACTCTTTTCCAGCAGGAAGAGGCAAGCAGCGAGGATCCCGTTATCAAACTGGGAGCAGCACGGAACAGGAGTTAACTTTGGCTTTTCCATCCACCGAGCACCGATACTGGTACAGCCCTCTCACCTGTCCGTAGTCCCACGTCCTCGCTCCAATCTGTTGCTGCGTGCCGTAATAGATCCGTCCCACATCATTTAGGACGTACTCCTTCCTCTCCTCCTCTGAGTCCATGAACACGGGGTCATCTAGCAAACCAGGTAATAACAGTTAATCCATGAAATATAGCATTCATGCAGTCATTTAGTTAAACTATTTGGCCTGGAAGTTATGCTGTAATCACATCCTTAAAGTGGCTGGCAGGTTAGAGCATTCATTCGTGTTTGATTTAAGGCTTTCTTTTCATTGTGAGGATGCTTTATTTTATGCTCCATCCAGCCTGTAAGCATTTAGCTGCAACCACTGGCAAACGGATGTCGTAATCATGCATACATTAAGCATAAATCTCTGCCTCCTACACATTTGTTGGAAAATGTGATGCTGTGACTGTTATGAGATGGAAATCTTGTTAGATGCTCTAGTGTAGCACAAACATCCCTGATAAATGTCTTTAATGAGTTGGGGTTAGGGCTAATTTTGCAATTATCTCTGCTTACATTCTTTGTTGAGAAAGACAGGTCAATAGTTGACCCATGATTGTGGTTGGTTTATCCAAGAGTCCAATTCTTTATGTTTCTTACAGTTGTTGTATGATTTCACATTTCAAATTTTCTAAAGTACCGAGTGGTAATGGTAGTGAGGAAATACAAAAGCACAAATAGTTGCATATTTGTGAAGTTAAAGGAAAAGGATGAATGATGAAGTGTATTTAGGTCTAAACTCTAACAGAGCCAGTCTAAGCAATGAACTCTTTCCAAAAAACGTAAAAATCAATCCTCTGGACTTTGTTTCCGAGTTTGAAGACGTTTCTCTTCCATCCAGGAAGCTTTTTCATTTCAAAATGTCAAAAATAGCGTTTAGTTCCAGGTTTTATCCAGCAGCCCAACAAAGCCTGGTTTTAGTTTATTAAACATGCAAATAGAAACGGATGAACGGGTCCCCCCCTTTGGAGTGGGGGTCGTTTGGCTTCTTTGTTAGCCTGCAATGCCCCATACCTGTCTATGTCTCTGAAAGGGGGGTCGTTAGAGGGAATAGTTGGCCTGGCTGAATAAGCAAGGTCCCCCGCTCTCCTGTAAAGGAGTTGGAGCTGCGATGAGAGCGGGAAGGAATCAACTCTATTGCTGCATTGTAGGTTTTTGAAAGCTGAAATCTGAGCCCCCCCCCCCCTGTTTAAGGTTGGTCAGACAGAGGAGGTGGACTCATGATTTGCATGTTTTCTTAAGGCTTTGTTGGGCTACTGGATAAAACCTGGAACTAAACGCTATTTCTGACATTTTGGATTGAAAAATCTTCCTGGATGGAAGAGAAACGTCTTCAAACTTGGAAACAAAGTCCAGTGGATTATTTTTTTTAACTTTTTTTTGAACGAGAATGACCTGGAAGACTGAAGCTGCGTTCACACTAAATGCAGCAGGAGCAGCTAGTTTACATGCAAAGTCAATGATTGACGCGTGTCAAGGTGCAGCAAAATGTCCTGCGGCGCGTTTTGAGCAGCAGACGCAGCGCGTCTGAGCAGCTGAAGCAGCGCGTCAGGAGCGTTTAAGCATCTGACGCACGCGACACGCCGTAAATACAGCTGCTGCTCGAGATGGAAAAATGGAACTTTAGCTGCTGGACATCAACCAATCAGAGAAGCTGATCTGGGAGCTGGCAGGGAGTCAGACGCAGCACTGCTGATGCAGAGCACTATGATCACTCCTCTGAAACAGTTTATTAACGCCTATATTAACTTCAAATGTAGAAACCTGCCGGCAGAATATGTTGGCTTTTATTATCCTGCTGCCTGCAGTTTGGATTATGTTCATGAAAACCGCTTCCAGCCGCCGCGGCAGGAGGCAACCAGGCCAGAGGCTGCTGTTGAATGGGATTCCCAGTGACAGCGCACCGCCAGTATGTGGGGGTCTGAGCGGCTCCGACAGAAATAATATATGAAGGCAGGATGATAATCTGGATGAACTGACTGCAATGATTCAGTTTTCAGGTGGAATTTCCCACTTGAAAACACATTAAAACTACTTTATTCCCACTGATCACAGCAAATATAGCTGCAAGGCAGAGAAAGGATAGTGAAGCTCCGCCCAACGCGCATCAGACCCACTTTTCCACCTGCTGCGTTTGGTGTGAACGCAGCAGGTGGAATGAACTTACTATCAAAAGATTTTCTTGTATTTTATGTTTTATCTATTGTGTATTTTCTGTGTTTTTGCTTAAAAAGCATCCCCATTTCTTAATACTGCCACTGACATGTTTTATGATGTATTCAGGTGAATCTGCCGCCTGTTGCTACCATTTTTACCATTTTTTTTCATATAGGAGAGAAAATTCAGCATTTTGGTCTCATTTGATCAAATCAGCTTGTTGCGTCTCCTACATGTTGACATATTCCACCCCTGCTTCTGCTATAACACTCATAAAATAGTATGTTTATATTAAACTGAAGCATCCCCACAGCATGATGCTTCCACAGACTACTCTGCTTGTACTACTCACACAACTTCTAAATATCAACTGACTAACTGACCAATTTAAGATTATCAGAGTAAAGGAGAAAAGATGGCTTGATATGATTTCTAAATATTGTTTAAACCATGCTGCATGCTGTCATCTAATGTCCCAAAATGTCTCAGGTTACCTTCACACCAAGGGTTGAACAGCAGGTAGATGTCATTGGCAGGATCGTGTGCAGAAGTGTCCCTTCCATTAGCACTATTTGTCACTATAGTGAGCTGGTATCTGCCGATGACAGCGGTGGGTGGGGAATTCACCGACAGCCTTAACTTCCTGTCCTCCTGCTTGACGATGGCAGCCTCCCAGCGGCCGTCCTCCAGCTCCTCCACCAGAGGGACAATGACATGGGTTCCATTTGACACGGCAGGGAGGAACCCTGCATGCAGCACATTAACACAGAAGGGATGAGTGATTACTAACATGTCCAAACACAATCACAGCTTTTGTTGGCTGAACTTTTTCATCCCAGCAAAGCCACACCTGAATACCTCCTGCGTCTGGATAAACGGAAACCTAAACAGGCAGAATACCGACCGTATTGTTCGGAAAAGGAGCACACACCTAATGTGACAGAAGTAACCTCAGAGCTGCTAAAACCTTTTAACAAAGACGGCTGTTTTCTCCAGGTTTGTGTCGTCATGCTGTCATTGACCTTATTGACCTGTCAAGCCACTGCTGTTTTTAAGCCCTCTTAAAAATTCTGATTTGCAGTATTGACAGCCGGAAAAAAAACGTGTTTCTGTGCAGGGGCAGATTTAGGAAATTTGGAGCCCTAGGCAAAGACAGAGAATAGAATAAAATAGACATCCATGATCTGTTCTAGGTTGTGTCCCTCTCTTCTTGTCCCTTTTCTTCTTGTTTTCCTCTCTATGTTTTGTACTCAGCTGACTTTTCATGCTGTCTCTAAAGGAATGAAAGATTTTTTCCAAGCACTAAGCTCACTTAGCTGATTGCTCCTTCCTGTGTTTCCAAAAAGGCCAAAGTAAATAACCCAGTCCTTCTTTTCACTGTAGACAAGCCATGATCTGCTTCTCTGTTCTCCATTTTTCATTTGGATGAAATAATAGCTGCATGAATCATGACAGCAGACAAGATAGAGGAGAGCAGGAGGCGGGGTTACCAATCTACTTGCTCTGGAGAGCAGAGTTCGCTGCTTTTAGATGTTGTCTCCAAAGTCTCCAGTAGCAGAAAAAAGTCTCTAGATTTGGCGCTAGGAGCTTTTTAGAAATCAAAGTGCTAGAGGGGTCTGAAAAGTGGCTAAATATAGCGACTAAAGCGCTAAGTTGGCAACACTGCTCTTTGCATGGTTTGTTTTCAAATGGTTTGCTGCTGTCTGTTTGGACCTTTCTGAACATGTGCAGCAAATGGACTGATCCAATATGGTGGACGCTGAAGGGGGGGGGCTGAGACACACTTAATATTATCAGCGTTCTGATGGCATTTTAGCAAAAGGATTTTTATCAAAAACATAATTAGTGTGGAAAAATAAGGAATAGTTGTATTAACCATACATGGAAACAGAGTTTTATAGGGCCCCCAGGAACTTGGGGCCCTAGGCACCTGCCTGGTATTGTTCAATGGTAAACCCCCTCCTGTTTCTGTGTGTAACAAATCCCCATAGTTGGTGGCTTAGAGTCTAGTGCAGGGTGTTAAAAACCTCAGCGTTCAATGTGGTTCTAGTTTCTCTTAAGGGTGCGACCTTGTCTCAACCTGCTGTTTTCAAATACCAAACCAAAACCAGTTTGCTATGTTACAATCCAGTTAGGAAATGCTACATGCTCCCTACCTCAATCTTTGGCAGGCGTGCTACAGATTGGGTGGGGGGGGGGAAATAGAAAATTGCTCACAGTAAAAGGAAAGAAACAAATGAAGCATCCATTGTGCCAGAAAAACACATCAGCTGCTGGATTGCAGAGAGAAAGAATCGGAAACCAAGAAGGGAGACAGGCAGCAGATTGAGCTGCAGACTCAGAGTAAAGCAGCAGCTGTGCACCACTAGGAAGAGGAACAGAGATGGGCTTTCTGCTGGGAAAGTGGTTAAATGGACGGAGGGTATTGCAGGAGAGAGAGTGCTTGTCGCAGCAACAGTTCAGCCTTGGTGGGCTGGCAGTGCATCAGAAAGGTCAAAGTTTTCCTGCAATACTGAAGCTTTCTGAAACCTGAATACACTGAATACTGATATTCTGCCCAATTTTAACATCACAACTACAAACTTGATAAACTGTTGTGCAGATAGAGAGAGACTCTAACAGTCTTTGGTTGTCGATGTGCTTTGCAGATTTCTACAGGTTAAAAAAATGATTACTGATATTTAATAATAATCCAATATTTTGTGCTTGTCCATCACAAACTGTAGTGAAGGCTGTGGTTTTAATATAGAGAAAGGAAAAATTTCAGTTTGTCACTGAATATTTTACATCTGCACTTCAAAATAAAATTCATCTGATTAAGTCATTTTTTCTTAGAATAAGAGCATTTTATCTTGAATTGAGGAGGAAAGTGAAACATTTCCAATGTCTTGTCTGTTTTGGTCTTATTTCAAGTGCATTTTATCTAAATATCTTGTTTTAGGTATAAAAATACTCATTACATTGGCAAATCATCTCATTTATCGACTCAATTTAAGGGTAAAGACACTTAATCTATGAAATTTTTACTTATTTCTAGGTCATTTTTCCAGCGTTTTTAAAAAAAATGAAAAATATAGAAGTTACCACACAGCTTTAGACAGCAAGTTGTTATATTTACATACTCAAATTAAGGGTTAATAATAACATTTATAATTTTCTAGATCGTCTTTGCAGTGTAAAATGTTTTTTTTTTTTTTTTTTTTTTTTTTTGCCTATCATAAGTCGGGCTGCCTGTGAGATTTAATGTCACCCTGATTTAACCTCTATAAAAAACACATCCTACAAGCCCCATCTACGCCTAAACTCTGTGTTTGAGTGTGATGGGTGACATGTTTAAGTAGAATTAAACTAGCCCCCTCTATCTCCTGACATTCTGTATAGCTTAACCAATCAGCCTCTGGCTTGCTCCAATACATAAACCCATCTATCTGCAAAAACTGCGTTAAAAAGTGTTCTTCCTGTGCAGCCAGTAAGCTTTAACATCCACTTAGCTTTAAAGTCCAAATGCCAGCTTTGCATACAGCAATACCTCATATCTGCATATCCTGTCTCCGATTGATACCCATAATCGAAAGATTCAGCAAACACATTTATCCTCCTGAGGCTGGATTACCTATTTTTTCGGTGGCATTTTGAGTTAAGGGTTTGTAAGTGTGCAATCGAGGCTACCTATCACTTCTACCAGGTTCGATATTAAGTGACATTTAGAGCCACTCTGAGCTGTTGAAGTGGTTTTCAAGCCTCTGAAAGCAGCAGAAAAGCGGACAGAACATTTTAGTTGGGTTTTAGAAATGACTGTGTTTGTTTTTTATTTTAACAAGGCCTGTGATGTGCTTTCCTGCAGGGCGGTTTGTTTTCAGAGCCAAAACTGCGTGGAGTCCGGGGCGGATTTACCATCAGGCAATACTAGGCAGTTGCTTAGGGCCCCAACTTCCTGGGGGCCCAAAAAACTCTGTTTCCATGTATGGTTAATACAACTATTCCTTATTTGTGCACATTAATTATGTTTTTGATAAAAATCCTTTGGCTAAAATGCCATCAGAACGCTGATAATATTCAGTGTGTCTCAGCCCCCCCCCCTTCAGTGTCCACCATATTGGATCAGTCCATTTGCTGCACATGTTCAGAAAGGTCCAAACAGACAGCAGCAAACCATTTGAAAACAAACCATGCAAAGAGCAGTGTTGCCAACTTAGCGCTTTAGTCGCTATATTTAGCCACTTTTCAGACCCCTCTAGCACTTTGATTTCTAAAAAGCTCCTAGCGCCAAATCTAGAGACTTTTTTCTGCTACTGGAGACTTTGGAGACAACATCTAAAAGCAGCGAACTCTGCTCTCCAGAGCGAGTAGATTGGTAACCCCGCCTCCTGCTCTCCTCTATCTTGTCTGCTGTCATGATTCATGCAGCTATTATTTCATCCAAATGAAAAATGGAGAACAGAGAAGCAGATCATGGCTTGTCTACAGTGAAAAGAAGGACTGGGTTATTTACTTTGGCCTTTTTGGAAACACAGGAAGGAGCAATCAGCTAAGTGAGCTTAGTGCTTGGAAAAAATCTTTCATTCCTTTAGAGACAGCATGAAAAGTCAGCTGAGTACAAAACATAGAGAGGAAAACAAGAAGAAAAGGGACAAGAAGAGAGGGACACAACCTAGAACAGAGAATGGATGTCTATTCTATTAACATTTCTCTATCTGGAGAATGGGGCTGTTTTATGTCTTCTCCATTCAGAGGGGCCCTGCCTGTCTTTGCCTAGGGCCCCAACTTTCCTAAATCTGCCTGCGTGGAGTTCGTCCTGTATGCTGCTGGTAGAGCAGGACACAGAGTTCTGCTTAAAAACATTGAGGTTGAATGAATTTTAACGCACCGTCCACGGTACTGAATGGAGCTGTCTTTAATCACTTAACATTATGAGAAGATTATTCATGGTCGGTGATGTGATTTTTATTCCTAACTAAATTATAGACTTGACAAGGTCTGTGTCGCCTTGCAGGCCTGTTTTTGTTCCAGTCAGCAGCAAATGCTTTCTGTATTTACTCTTATCTTCGCCTCATGGGTTCAATAAAAAAGGCTTCCACATCTAATAAATGGCAACAAATAGCAACTCAGATTTGCATTACTGTAAGCAAAAAAGCTAGCATCGTATGTTTGTTAAACTCACACTATAATTAGCAGAACACACATATCTGTGCGAGACACAAAGAAAAGAATAATGGTTTTAGAAAGCAAAGGCTCTTTAATGACGACACAGAGGGAGACCAGCTGGTTAGACCCAGCTCTCCACACACAGAAGAGCTTAATATAAAGCACATTAATCAGGTAAGAGCAGAAGCACCATATAAGATGTCATAGGTGACCCATATAGCCAGTATAGTAAGAGTCTGAGGAATAAAGAGGACTATGGAGACAACAAGCAGGGAAGAGCTGATCTGATGCTGAGGGATAAGGAAGAAAAACGTCTCATTGGAATCTGACTTTTTTTTAGCTCTGAATTTAAAACACTGAATTTTTATCTGGTGAAAATTCAGCTGCAAAAATTCGACTGATTTTGTTGACCCAAGAAAGAGCAATCTACACTCGATGCAGTCCAGCTGCTTCTGGCCAATGAAATGAGATCATTTGGTCAGAAAAATAAAAATAAATAGCAGACGGAGGTGCTGCACTATCTGTGATCGGCTCAGTTATTATATGAAAGTCCCATTAGATGGAAAACTCTAATGGCTGTCTATTAGCAGCTACCTGACGT